AAGCCCCAGTACTGGCAGTGAACTCCTTGTCTTGTGTTCTTGTGAGCACCGCAGTTTAATCTACCAGGACAAAGTTAAAGCCAGTCGCTTGCTCCAACAATGCGCCTCTGTCTTCGCGAATGGAACCCACTGCTGTGATAAGGATGTGGCCAATTTTTCTTCTCTATTTCAGCAAGTGAACAATAATATCAGTTATGCGGTTACACTACCCACTGATTTAAATCTGCACTCTTCACTCTAACCGTACGGGTTGCACGCCTTGTTCAATAGGACTGTGGCGGCGAACATCGCCTCGCCTATCTCCCAGGTTTTCCTTTGTTTTTCGTACCTGGACGTCTCCTGTCGGCTTAGAAAGTAGGCATTGTCAAACCCAAATGGTTGGCGGCCTCCGGTTCCAGTTTTCCGTGTCAATGTGACCTGAACGGGAACAGCCAAATTGACTCCTGCGCCTGCAGAGGTACGGTACGTGGTTCGAGCTGACCCACACAAAGCTCCATTCGCACTCCACGTATCCAGTGTCGGCCCAAAGGAATAAGACCCGGCGACATGTGGATAGGATGGACGTTTCATCAATTGAGCTGACCCACTGCGTAACAAGTGGAACGGAAGGCTTCATGCCGACTTGGGCAGTCGTGCATGCCAGAAATACACAAACAGGTGGCTGGACTGTGGTACGCTTCACACGGTGTGCATGGAATCACCCAACTAGCCCAGCAAGGTCCCGAGGACCGTGCACCCCACCCCCAGCAACGACCTACAGTCTCTTGGAGCCAGTAATCGAGCTAGAGGTGGTTAGACGGGAAAGCACACTGTCAACTTTCACAGGAAGCGCAGCCCCAACGGGGACAGCAAACAAGAATCTTAGCATTTGAGAAAAATCACACACGCAAACTTGACCATATAACAAAAGAACAAACTGCATAAATGAATTGGATAGAACAGATTTTAGCCAGAGTAAAACAATCTACTTTAATTGTAAGTTGGTTTAGCTCAACTGCGGTAAAAAAAGGCATCGTGCATACAACATCAACTTCAGCATGACGAGAGTATTGGAGTGGTAGAGAGCAGAAGGGAGGTACCGTGTCAGTTCCCACGCTTCCTGGTTAAAGCAGGAATAACGTGGAGCCATGTGATAAGTCCTTTTAAAAGTGGCCATCAAGGTAGCAGCGAAAGCAACACAAACCTTGCTTTCCCAGCATGCAGGAGTCCAACAGTCGTAACATTATATATATCTCTGATTGGTAACATCCGGTCTCGGATTTGCCTGACACTGTGGCCAGCCACAGAGGGACCATGGTTGACCTGCTCTGCGCCACGCGCTGCTTTACTCACTCCCCATCATCAGTGCACATCCAAAGCAATAAGCCCAAGAGGAATGTGGATAGGAGCCACGTTTCATCGATGGAGACGGCACACACTCCTTCACAAGCAAACACAAACAAGCAGTAGTTAGGAATCAATCGCACACCAAACGGCCGCTGGGTCATACCCTGCTCCACACTGCGTGCATGGAACCTTTCGTTAAGTCCAGCGCGGTCACAAGGAACGTCCACGTTATCAGTTCCAACTACGATTCACAGTCTCCTGGAGCCAATAATCCAGGCGGCGTGTGCTGGACATGTGAGCACCTTGTCAACATACATATCAAGCGCAGCCACCTCGGGAAAATCAAACAACCCACATGCCAATTGCAGGAAATTAAACACACAAAATGAACACAAAGCCATAGGCAGAATATCATAACTGTGCTAATCAAATAATGTGGCATATATTTCATCCAGGATAATATGATATAGTTAGATGTTCTTCGGTACAGCCCAACTGCGGTAGAGAAACATGGTGTATGCTCCATCAACGTTAGCATGACGCAAGTCGAACACGTATGGTTGATGGCATCAGGTTTTTGGATTCGACAGTCACTGTGGCCAGACACAGAAGGTTTACGCCTACAGAGGGACCATGGGTGGCTTGCGCTGCACCACACACAGCTCCCACCACACACCCATATCAAGTGTAAACCCGAAGGAATAAGATCGGAAAGCATGTGGATTGGAACAACTTTCGTCAACGGAGCCGGCCCACGCTCCTTCGCAGGTAAACACAAGTACGCCGTATTTGGGAATCAAGCGCACACAAGGCGGTGGCTGGACCGTAGTCCGCTGCGCACTGATTGCATGGAACCACACTTCGTACCTAGCACCTCCACATGGACCGTGCACCCCTCTCCTCCAGAAATACCCAAGTGTTTCCCATAGTCTGTATAGACGAGGTAGTGCCTAATAGACAGGTAGGAACCATGTCAACATGCACATCAAGCGCAGACACGCCGGGGATGTCAAAACACAGCCAAACCCTTGAAAAGACGTTATCAAATAAAATACAGCTGTTAAAGCGTAAGGAAATGCCGACGTTACGCTTCGCTAAATTAGTATATGAATTAAGGTGGTTAGCAGCGTATCCGCGATAACTATAAAAAATTTCAGAAGTTATTCAAAAAATGCCATGAGTGTGCCATAAATAGGGACCTCTGAAGGCGCAGAAATAATCCGCTGAACTTGGATTCAATTACATCAAGAAATTGCTTCGAGGGCGCTAGCCTGCTATTTAAGGAAATATATATACTAGCGCCCCAGCGTACTGGGTCCCAAGGAATGACGCGCAATCAAAAGGAAATGGACTGATGAAGTATGCACGAGCCTCTACGGAATGTGTGAGGATGCTATACCGTGAAAAGTATCAAACTGTACTAACTCACCCTAGGGCACTTGAGCAATACTTATCCTACTATTTGTTTCGACCATGCAAGCATCTGACCTATTCTACAAAATACTTTGTCCCTTGCGGGCACAGTTTCCAGCAGATGTCTAGAAATATGTGTTTTCATTTAGCAATTAAGATAAAAACAATAAGCGTCGGCAGAGTGCCATTTCTTAGACTCTTTCCTTGGTGGGCAGAATAAACCAAGTAAAAGGGGGTGAAAATTTCGTATAAAGTAGAAGTCCCGGTTAAAATTCGCACACAATAATGTGCCTCGACGGCGAATCGAACCCCGGTCCAACGAATTTCCGGTCCGCTTCTCTACCACTGAGCTACCGAGAATTGACGATTAGGAGCGAAATTTTTAATACCTGGTTTGCTTGGTGCGCGATGTATTACCAGTGAACTCACAGTATCTGTCCTGGTGTTGCAGGGTGACTCACTCACTCGTCACTTCCCAATGGACCGAAGTATCTGTCCTTCAGATGTCCCAAGGGCGATGGTAGATTAATTGTGGATGTTTGTGAGTGAAAATTATTTAGCTTAAAAAGACCTATTTTAAATGTAGGTTGGTTTAGATAAACTGCGGCGTAGAAGCATGCTGAACGCAACGTAAACCTCAGCATGTAGGGAACAGGCAGGACCCAGCCAGCTTTCGCTCAGTTTGCTTAACGTCAATATTATATAGGCTATGGAACATATCTTAAACCGGCACTTCATCCCTACTACGAGGAATTGACTGTCTTCTCTTATGTGCAATATGTTTTTCATAGGGCACGCCCATGTACATCAAAGTTACTGGTTGCCAAGGAGAATTAGGCGAAGTCGCTATTCCCTAGTCAATACCTTGACGTTGGGTTTGTTGGTTTCAGCAAAACTATCGATATGGACCCGCATGAACGACTTTTGCTTTAACTCCGAGAAACAGGTATCGACAGGATCTTCTCACTTGGATTTCTGACTTTAATTACGACCAGACGATGCAAGTGCAAGTAAACGAAAAGTTTTCCTCGCTTGCTATCATGACTAGTGGGTCCCCCAGCGTTCGGTCTTCGGCCCTGTGATTTTCAGTGCCTTCATCTAAGGCACACCGTCCATACTCCAGGCAGATTGCCTAATCTACGCCGACGACTTGAGGCTACGTATGGAGGTATGTAGCGTGGAAGGCGGTGACAGTTTAAAATCGATGCGCGACCTGCTACACTATTAGACGAGTAAGTGGCAGTTGTCACGGAATCGTGGGAAAGGATCGGTTCTTCTAGTTGGCGCTTCTGACTGATTTGAAACCTAGCATCTCGGTGGTTCCTTGCATTGAAACTACATTTAGGAGAGCCATCCGGGGTTGCCGGCTTCACTAGATCTCAAATCTCTTCAAGGTCTCGAGGAAAATGTCGCAGTGGCCTGTAGGATATTTCATTCCGCAAATAATACTTTCTCCTTTGTCTGTCGCACGGGTACTTCAAACTCCCGTTTGCTTCCATATACGTCTATGTCTCGAATACGGACGACCTGCGGCATAATTTCTTACGAACTTCGTACGTGCTATGATTGAGAAGGTCAAACGGCGTGAATCCAACTCCGTTGCTGAGCTGCAAGACCTGTCCTAAACACGCTGACTCCAACAACTAAACGCATGTTCTCTGGATTGCCGTCGTCATCCCAGAGAACTGATCTTTATCCGAGGTATTCTTAGAGGAGGGTTTGCGGGGAGAATTACTGAAATTCGTTCACCACAATACAGATTTCGACACGAGGCCGCAGTTTGAAAATTTTAAAACCCAGGAGTCTTTGAGTGCGATCCAGTCCAGCTTTATCCACCCGCTTCGTGAGTGACTGGACCCGCCTACCGGAATCAAGCGCAGCTGCCGCCAGCAAGGAACGCTGCAAGCATCAGTGGGATGTTTAGTTTAGTTAGCGGGAATCCAGCTCTTTCCAATGCAGCTGCAGTTGGCTACTGCTGAACATTGTTTCTCAGCGACTCAGACTATCTCCATAACGATCTGGATGCGACGGAGCTGACAATGTAACTTCTTTCTTCTCTCTATTTTTCAATGTTCCCATGATCTTTAGCCGTGCGATCACCAACGTATTGGCTGACTTACCCAATCGTACCGTCAACTTAGGGCTAATTTTGTTTCAAACAATTAACAACTCCCGTACGATAGGAGTTTTAGTGTTTAGCATAGCGCCAAGTCTTGGGTTCTAGCTTGTTTAAATGTATCTTTTTAAACCGCGTTACCGTCGTTCGAATTTTCCCGACCATGGTTGGCGATGTTAATTGTTCCAACGGTGGTCAGTCGAAAAGGAGAAAGGTATGGAATGATTTAAATGTTTTACGGATTATATTTTCTATATGTTCCAGTCTTTGTTTCGTCGAATAGCGGATTCTTTATCTGCCTTTGTTCCATCGAATATTTTTCCCTCCGTAAGTCTCCCACATGTCACATCGATCTATCTTAGGTTGGCTCCGAATCTTCACCTTGTGACGGTGATGCCTCAACATTTAGCTCTTGTAAATACGAGCACAACCGGCCTATCATACTGTTGGAAGAGAGAGAAACGCAGACGTCCAGCGCCCTGAACGCACGTGACACATTGGACGTTGATCTCGATGCGCTGGACAACTCAGACTGTGAAGTCAGTGCTCATTCATCGACCAGCGGTGTTTCATCACTGCTGCCACGGAATTGTAACTTTAAAACATGGAGTCCGCTCCACGAAGCATTCGATAATCACCCAGGAGATGGCGCGGGCACCTCTCGCTTTAAGAAGCAAGGCACCTTTTCGGATATCACGAACTCAATTACTTCGGATTCAACTTTCAAATCTTCATCTGTTACTCCATGGATAATGTCGTTGAAAACTAAACCGCAGGAGTCGATGGTGTCTTCACGCCCTGTAAAAAAGCAACGACTCTCCAGCGCACTTTCTAGCTGCAGCTCCGTATCGGAATTAGAAAAGAGATCTGTCTTTTATCAAGGAAAAACAACTTACGGTGGAGCATCTAGCTGTCGCCTTCCACTTCAGTCTGGGGTGAGTTCCTATTGTCATTTTGTTCATCGGTTTATACTTAAATGCTTAGTCCATTAATCGTTGCTAGCGATTTTACTTAACGTAGAAGGGCGCTTCGTGCAGTGTATGCTGAGCAATAGCTCCACTCTAGCAGCTACTTGGCTTTTATCCTGCTATTATTGACCCCAGAAACCAACTGCTTGACCAATATAACGTCTTTTGATCCTCGTCCCTGCTCTTCTGCACTTTACCTCAGCTAGTTCCATAACTCGTTTTCGTAATTGCAGTGTCTAGGTAATTTCCCTGGGACCACATAAGCCGTTACCTAACGAGCATTTTTCTTACTATCGGGTGGCCTCATTATTTTAGCATTTTGATTTTGCTTCCTTAACTCAAGCCAGCTCAGTCCTCTCTTAAATTCGGTGATTTTACTGGTGCATTTCTAATATTTCAAGGCAACCCAGGTGTGTAATATTTACTTGTCCCCCGAACAAGTGGTTATACTTTAATGTTATCCGTCGATCTTGCTAGCTGTCCTTCGCATAGTAATGCGATACAACTATGACTCCTCAAACAATCTAATGCTCTGGTCGTCGCAGAGAATAATAAGTCGGCTGGTGGCCGAGTGGTATGCGTGTCTGGTTTGCAAGCAGAAGGTCTCCGGTTCGAATCCGCGTAGGGGCGGGCGTCCTCATGGTATGCAGCCCACACGCGACTGGTGGCGGTCGCGTGGCATCGAAACGCCGTTGCGGCGTGCAGCTGACGATTTATTATTATTTTTTAGAGAATAATAAACGGCGCCCTATCTGCTTCACTAGGCAGAGTGGATGTGTTTGGATGCTACTGCTCAAGTCTTCCTGTCTTCTTACTCCCACTTGCGCTTTTTTCTCCGTATCTACCCACTCCAACTTCACTTTATCCCCCATGCTTTTAATCCCCTAATTCTCAGCCCTTCTCCGTCTTGCTTCAATAATCGCATTTCTTCTAGTTTCAACTCAATCGCAGGGCATTGCTCCAGTCCTGTCGACAAGTCCATGTTCATCCAAGCGGACAATGTCGGTTCATCCGTTTCTCTTTGCAGTTGGAGTCCTCGATTCTCCCTAAGACTGATGTGCTTCAACGTGCGCACTTTGCCACAGATTGGACAACAGGCAGCACTTGCTCGAACACTAGAGACCCTCTCGATCAATATTTGCTGTTTATCGGAAGCTCGCCTGCAAGATCCGAGCTCTGTGCTTACCCTGCGATCTCCCACATGCGACCCTGTCGGCACATTCTCATTGCGCCTACCTGGAGATGACGCAACTTCAAGTCTGAATGGGCATTATTCTGGGTCCCCAGGCTGAAGCTGCCTTGTTCGATTGGTTCCTAGTCAACAGCCGGATGTGCTCCGTTAGGTTGATTGTTTCGGTCATAGCAGACGGTGCCTGTTTGTTACTGCAGCCCACGAGCCAAAAAACAGTGGCACTGATTCGGTGAAAGATGCATTCTATCACCAACTGAACGCGCTCCTCCGTTACAAAATAGTACGGATACCGTGGTGCTTGCTGGGGATCTGAACGTCCAAGTCAGAAAATTGTCCTCTGTTGAGCTTCATCTAGGCGGCCAACATGCTGTAGGCTTCCGCAATGATAACGGTGAGCGGTTGCTTCGCCTATGTGAAGATGGTCGTCTCTTTCTCGCGACCACTAACTCCACACAGCACTCGCAGAACTGTGACTTTGCGCCCAACAGCCATCGATACGAATCGATCACATCCCGATCAGTTACCGCTGGAGAGCATGCCTCCAAAATTGCCGCTTGATTTGGAGCACGAGCGTGGACTCCGATCACGCTCTTGTGTGTGCCGACCTTCGAGTGCGTTTCGGCGGATGTTCGCAACGTTGCTGTGAGTGCATAGACACCAGCCAACTGGCGAAGCCAGATGTTCCGAATGCGTATCAAAGTACGCTGGCATCCGGGCTGAGTAAGCGCCCTTTGAGCACCGTTGAAGATCACTGGCCGCATAATCACCAAGTGTTACTATCAGCGGACATGTTCATGTGGCAAATCAAATGGCCAACCTGAACACTGGGTTTGTACACAGTCTCTAGCACTTTTGAATGCTCTCCGACGCATTCCAACTGAAAGCGGATACAATGAAACTCGCAACATTATCAGGGCAAAACTTCGTGCTAACCTGAAGAGACCGCGAAGCCTAGTTTTCTCGTCGTGCTTCGAAAATGGAAACAGCTGTTGCCGTTGGTAATCCTCATAAGTTCTTCCGTCCGATACGGGAAACGGTAGCATGAGACCTGGCGTTAGCGTGACCGTACGCGACGAAAGTGGCCAGCCGATCCACAGCCTGTCAAAACTCTTGGAGCGTTGGGCTGAACACTGCAAAGCAGTTTAACCAATCTGAGATATCACTTTCATTTTCAGGCATTGTTTGCCCTTATCCCTGAACCGTCTCTTTAGATCCACCCTCACATGCAAAAGTCGACTTTCAGGTCAGATTTGAAATTGATTAAGGGCACAAAGGTAGATAGAATTTCCCCCGCCCTCTATAACTTAGGAGGACCTGCTCCTGTAGATGAGTTACACTAGTTACTAGTGCAACTGTGGGAGCAGAAGACTGTCCCGCCAGACTAGCCGCGCCGTCACTGTCCCAGTTTTTAAGCGCTGCTCCCGTTCAGAATGGGACAATCATAGGGGGATCAATTTGATCTAACTTGCTTGCGTCTGCCGTCATCCATAGACTAACACAAGTGAAAGTCAAATTCGTGTGGAGCAATTTGGGTTTCGTCGAAGTCGGGGCCGCATCGACCACATCACTTTACCTTAATTGCTCTAGCACTGCCATGTTTATTGGCACCCCACCGTTGTCACGTTTCTTGACATCCAAGGTGCCTTCGATTCGGTTGGTCGATGTGCCCTTTGGAACTGTCTACTCAAGGAAGGTGTGCCGGATAAATATCTAGACATTATCAGAGCGCTGTACGCGCATAGTTCGGGCATAATGAGGGTTTATGACAAACTGTTTCCGCCATTCAATATCTCCAGCAGTGTGAGACAACGTTGGCCGCTGTCACCCTTTTTAACTTCGTCATTGACAAAGTCATGGAAACAGTAATCACTTGAAAAGACTTACAAGGTGTGGAGCTACTTCCTGATGAACGACTTGACTTGGAGTATGCGGACGACATTGCCCTCATATGTGATAGCTCTCGAATGTACCAATCAGCACTGGACAGATTAGTACTGGTTGTCAGTCGTTCCGGGCGATGCTTTACGCCGTCGAAATGCGAACTCCTGCAAGATTGGCAGGGATCCACCCCTGCGCTGACCCTTGGTGGTGATCAGCCAGAAGTCGTTCTGGGCACCTATATTAGTGCCCGTGGGATCGATTATGAAATCGCAAACAGTATAGCGAAAGCTCTAGATGCCTTTGCCTATCTGCCATCTGTAGCGCAGACGCGGCATCTCGCTCTGAGGGGCGGAGTCCATAATGCAGCCGTCTGTTCAACCCTCCTATACGGTTTTGAAACCTGAAACATCAAGTCCACAAACCTAAAGATGCTGGCCTCGTTTGACCTTCGCTGCTTTGCTCATGTTTGGCGGGAGCACCGAGTGAGCAATGATTATGTTCGGCGTCGCGTATTTGATGCAGGAAGAGCGAGTGAACTGCTCTGTACCATTATATCACGCAGCAGACTCCGATGGCTGGGCTACGTGTTGCAGATGCCAGCCTACCGACTCCCGCCTCATTTACGCGCCAGGGATGTGGATGGAAGAGGAGTGGAGGCCAACCGATGACTTGGTCAAGAGGAATGAAGTCACTTCGAAGTTGGTGTCGGTTGGTGCATCCCGACTACCGGGCTGGGGTCCGAAAGACGGTGAACACGTTTGGTTAGGCACACTTGTTGATGTGACGAAGAGCAGGCCCCAATCGCCTTCGCGTTGTGAGTTTCTTCGTCCACCCCTTCTCCTTTAGATTCCCCCACCAATCATGCTCTCATATCTAATGTGTGCTATACTATTTAATCTTGTACAACTTATTTGTTGAAATTTCTGCACTGTGTTCTTTTTTTATTACGACATATTGGCTGAGATGTTTCTCACCCTCAACTAACGTGTATTGATGATGACGAGTACATCTGTTACTTGCACTCGGGTGTCTGAGTTGGTGTCTGATATAGTGTGAAGTTTTATCACCCTATCCGCAAATTATAGAGAACTTTGTAATCGGTCCTTCTTCGCCCACAGTCAATATTGGGACGAAAGGTTCTATCGCACGGGTTGAGTCGGTTGGGATATTTTTCGTTTGATCAGCGTTGATTAACAACTTGCGACTTTGGCTATAGTCTGCATCTTTCGGCGAAATGCAAAGTAATTTAGCATTTTGTTCCGGCCGCTACGCATCTTATTATCTTAGGTTCCTTTCCCGTTTACTTTTGCCCCTTCCCCACTAAGAATATCGGAAGCTCTTTGTCGTCATAGCAGACGAGGCTCGTCACAGCTACCTCACTTATTTTTCAACTTTAACATAGGAATGCCAACTGTTTCTTGTTGAGATTCTGGTATTGCCATAAAACCAAATGACGCTATGGCTTTCTTGCAGTCAGGCTCATCCTTAGGCAACCTTGAACAATCATTCATTGCCACGAAATTGGGTGGACTCCAACGTGGATAGCGAAAAAGCATCTAATCTAGTCATCAACGACTTCGTTGCAAGCTGCCTAATCGGTCTGTTGTCAGCCATCAGCAGTATTCCGGTACGTTGTACCGGCGCGGCGCTGCTGCGCTACCACCACCAGCCGCACATGGGCTAAGGATACTGCGAAGATCACCCGGTCCCTACGCAGGCTCGAACCCGCGCCCTCCGATTACAAGGCAGTTTCGTGATCCTTAAGGCTATAGGCCGGCTGTTGGTCTGCTGAACGTATGGCGTTCTAACATCTGCTACGCGCCCTAGCTTTAGACCTGCTTACGCCTTACCGTTTAATTTTCGTTCTATTGTAAGAAGACGGACAAGACTTCCG